TCTTTATCGTGAAATAATTGAAACGTTATTCTAATCCACGAATTTATTTTAACACGATTACAAAAAATATTATATATCGAATGCAAAACAAATATCTTTCGTAGAAATGTTTTTGCCTTTCTTTCTTTTCTTCCTCTCTCTATCCATCTATCCATCCATCTATCTATCTATCTATATATCCATCTACCTATCTATCTATCTTCTTTTCCAAACTTTATTTACGTCCTGTAACAACTTTAGCCCGACGAGGTACTCCCAGCCGAAGTAATGCCGTTGCCAGATGAAATTCGATAAGAGAGCTTCGCGTCGCGCATCCACTCGACGCTCGCGTAGATTGTTACACTCGTCTTTGGATAAATGAAGACAAGCATGGCGTGTTCCAAAATGGATGAAGAATTCCTTTTTCTTTAGTTTCCTTGAATAGAAGTAATAAAAAAAAAAAAAAAAAAAAAAAAGAAAAAAAAGAAAGAAGAAGAAGAAGAAAAAAAGAAAAGAAGAAAGAAAGAAAGAAAGAAAGAAAGAATCTCGTTTCTTATTTTCCAAAGAGAAAGAGAAAGAAAGAGAGAGAGAGAGAAAGAGAGAGAGAGAGAGAGAGAGACCAAACTGAGACAGATAAAGTTGAGAGAGTACAAGAGAGATAGAGATAGAGATAGAAATAAAGAAAGAAACAGAGAGAGAGAGAGAGAGAGAGAGAGAGAGAGAGAGAGATGAAAAAAGAAGAAACGAAAAAGTAAAATGGCTACCCAGACACGATGGAATCATTTGTCTAGGAAGCGTCCGTTCTCGACAAACACAGGACGAGGCAACACGCAATGGATCGATTCGCGTAATCGAGGGTGAGATGATGGAACGGTGTAATACTCATGGAGCTACCCGTCGCGTTATCGCGACATTTATCTGCGAGACGTTCCATGCCCGATATTCTATTATATCCTACGCCATTGTAATCCATTACTCGTCAGTCCATTCGGCGAACTCGTCTACTCGCGTATTCTCGTTGCCCCTCTTGGCCCTCCGATGTGTCTGTCCGTTACACGAGTTTATTAATCACGCAATATTCCTAAATATCGATGCTGCTCGTTAGAAGGTCGTTAAGTTTTCTCTATATATCTACATCTAGATATCTTACTTCACTGCTATATCCCGATATGATAGATACGAACGAATGAAAAAAAATTTTTTCTCCTTCTCCGAATTATATTTGAAAAGAGAAAAGAAAGAAAGAAAGCAAAGGAAAAAAACAATTCTTAAATCCATTTAAATTAAACTATATCTATAATAATAACAGTAATAATAATAATTATTATAATAATTAAGTGAAAAGTAAAAAAAAATAGTTCGTATTGCAATACTGGATTGCGTTAATTCGGGGATATGACGAGAATTCTGCATATATATATATATATATATATATATATATATATATATATATATATATATATGTAGTTACTTGCGTTTTACCATAATTAGGGTCGATGTAACGTAGCTGTCGCTATAATGCGCCGTATAATTTATCTACGAGACATCCGGCGTGTCGATATTCCATTACATCCTACGCCACTGTAATCCATTATTGGTACGTCCACTACTACACGAATGCGAACGCGAGCGTTGCTATTTATTCGCCGCGTCGCTATTATTAATCCCATAATTATTCGCGTAATATAGACAAATATACAGAAGGACGAAGGTCATTAATAGCTTACGATAATGCGAGATCAACGTTATTTATGCATCGGCGCGTCTCTGCCAATGTAATTGCATTTTATATAATTTAATGACAAACGTTAATGAAATTATTACTCGATTTTCGGACGCGTATCGATGAGATTACCGTTGTTAAAATTAGACTAGCTAAACGTTTCTCTCTCTCTCACCCTCTCTCTCTCTCTCTCTCTCTCTCTCTCTCTCTCTCTCTCTATCTCTCTCTCTTCCGAAGAAATAACTAAATGAGATTTTATAATACTAATTTCTTTTCTTTTTCGTTCCTTAATAAAAATAAAACTATGACGAATTTAACCTCCTTATTTTGTTAAATTGAGATTTTTATTTTCTTCGCTGGAACAATATGGTAAAAGAAAATTTTTTATCTTCATCTTACCTTAGCAACCACAATCCATAATCTTCAAAAATATCGTGGGAATTACCCAGGTTTTGTACTTTTCTACCTTTTAAAGTTCATCTTTAAGGATTAAAAGTGGTAAGAAACATGTGTTTTGGATTGCCTCTTCTTATCCCTTTTGGCCGAAAGAATGTTTAATTATTTCTTTTAAACCATTGTGAAGGAATTCAGAAGATTTAATTGAATTGAATATATATATATATATATATATATATATATATTTAACGAATTAAAAAGATATAACAAGTAGATTAAAAACGAAGTATAAAAATATATGAAAGAAAAATTGTTATATGACACTTTATTGCACAAAATGTATGCTATATGTATATATAGATATATTTATAGATACATATATAACACCGTATATATCTATCTACATATAAATAAACAATAGTATATAATACTTACATTCAAAGTTATTAACTTTACTATAATATTTTCACATTAAGAATAATTATAAATTCTAAAAAATCATCATTATCGCTGAACAAAATGATTCATTTACGTATATAATATACGAAAACAATTTACAATTCAATGATTTACATCGGATACGTATTTATTACGAGTATGTCTTTCTAAAAACTCATAAACCTTTCGTTATAATCCGATTTGACCGGTACCAGTCTAACAAAAAGATCGATGAATGAAACGCAATGGAGACAGATCGATAAAAATACACAAGGAAGGTGAATTTTTTTCCATTGGATTTTTCTCTTTTTCCTTCTTTTTCTTTTTTTTTTTTTTTTTTTTTTTTTTGGATTTTCGTCTCTTTTCTTTTTGGTATTATTTTTTGTTTATTATTATTTTGTTCTCTCTCTCACTCTCTCTTTCTCTCTGTTGCTTTCCAAATCACGTGTAACACACTGTAATTCCACAGTAATTCCAAACAAAATCTCTGCCGTTGATCGATCGGCACAGAGTTCTGAATTTTTCTTTTCAAATCCACAAGCCAGTCCGTCGTTCCTTTTATCGGATCAGTCGTAGCTTTGATATAAAATGTCAGAGGCATCTCTCTCTCTCTCTCTCTCTTTCTCTCTCTTTCTCTCTCTTTCTCTCTCTATTCTCCTCTGCTCACTATTTCTATGTAGAACCGAAAGTAGATACGAGAAGTGGCGAAGTGCGAAGTTATAATGGCCGTACGAAAAAGTTAAGAGCATTACGTCGCATAAGTCTAGTCCTCTCCCTTCGGTCCCACAACCACGAGTGATTTGCATTTTTTACTTGAAGAAGAGAGAATTTTCATATTCCTTCCCGCCTCTCTTCTCTTTCTCTCTCTCTTTCTCTCTCTGTTTCCACCTTTATACTTTAGTTTGTGAACCATACGAGTGATCGTATAATGGTTGTTATATACGAAAGAGTTAGTTTTGAAATGGGAATATTTATCGTGAGACCCGTAGAGCCACTAGCACCATAGAGAGCGGTGGCTGTGCGTCGTTCGATAAAACGGAGACGCCTTCGGCGCCGTCGCGCGTCCTCTTCGCGTTCTCGCTCGAGCACGTACAACATATGTACTTACTTATGTATATATATATATATATATATATATCATCTACATATGCATGTATCCATGTAGGTGGAATCCTGTCCTTCTTTTCCAAATGGAAATACGAGTCGTGAATAAGCGTCAAAGCCTTAATATTCCCGGTGAGCGGTTGTTCCAAAGATAAAAAGAACGAACGGGTAAGAGAAAAGGGAGAGAAACGGAGAGAGAGAGAGAGAGAGAGAAAAAGAAAAAAAAACAGAGAGGTGGGAAGAACGGAGAGAAAAAGAGAGAGAGAGAGAAAGCGAGCCAATCGCATGCACCTACATCCGAGCTGTCATCATCGTTCGCGATAAGAGCAAAGAGCAAAGTGGCTGTCAACGAGACAAACGAGCCCACATCGATAGGACTCTTGGTAGTGATCGATACATGAACAAAAAGAGCGAGTAATCATTGTAGAAAGAAATAAAAAGAGAGAGAGAGAGAGAGTGAAAAAGAGATAGATGAATAAAGAGAGAGAGAGAGAGAGAGAGAGAGAGAGAGAGATGAATAAAGAGAGAGAGAGAGAGAGAGAGAGAGAAGACTCCAGGAGCCAAAGCCACCAAAAATCCTGTCAACTTTATCCCGCTATCGAAGATCCTGAGCTCTCGGTCCCTCTCTTTCTCTCCGGCAAAGTTGGCTCGGCGAAAGATCACACTAACAGAAGCGACGCAGTGGTAACGGGAGCGGGAAGAGCTCGAGGGATCATGCTGGTCTCTCTGCCCCTCCACGTTTCGCTTCCACGATCTCCGTCCTACTTTCCGCACCGAGCATCGATCCTACTCTTCTCCTCTCTCTCTCTCTCTCTCTCTCTCTTCCTATCACTCTTGTTCTTTCTCACTCTATTTCTCTCTCTTTCTCTCTCTCTCTCTCTCTCTCTCTATCTGTCTCTCGCTTTCTCTTTCTCTATCATACTTGCTGGTAGGTATATGCGGTTGCAAAAGAGAGGGGGCGTGAGTACAACACCGCGAATAGTATAGGTGGGATAAAGGGGGTGGCTTGGTGGGGAGGTACAGGAAAGTCACGTGGAAGGGATAATTAAACTGACACAAGCGTACCGTTCTGACACGACGTTACGGAAGGACGAAGAAAGGTTACCATGACTACGTGGATGGGATCCGGCCAATCCTGATCTTCCTCGTAGGCGTGGCCTCTACATTGGCCACCGAAAGCCCTCTCTCTTTCTCTCTCCCTCTCTAAACTAGTCGCTCGAATCCTACCCCTCTCTTTTGGTTCTATACCGATGGTAGGGAGTAGGAAGGAGAGAGAGAGAGAAATAATGGAGGGGGAGAAACCTTAGTTGGAGTGAGAAAAACATAGAGAAGAAAGGTAGAGGTAGGTCGCTACGAACTGCCGGTACTACCCGATTCCAACGGGCGCGTACAAACGTATCATGCTGGGTAGGGCCGGTGCCGAGATGCCGGCTTGTAAACGAAACCAGTTTGCTATCCGATACGATCCAGGCAACAGCGGCCTCGCGCGATATATCCACGAGCGAAGATCGCTGGTACCAACGAGGATCCGCACTCTCGGTGAGAGAGGCACCAGAATGTGGGGATAGGAGGAAATCACCTGACATCGGGGACATAAGAGAACGCGAAGTCCTCGAGAAGATCCAGCTATAACGAGACATTTCTTCGGGAATCGAAAAGCACCTAAGATCGGGAACGTCATTGCTCCTCTAACGTTGAGACTTCTCGTTTTGTTGTTCAACTCTACGTCAAATTGTGAAAGAATATTTCAATACTTTCCAAGGGTTTTTTCGTATTGTTGCCAGGATCATTCGCGTTTCGAAAAGGAAGAGAAAACGAAATAAATAAAAAAAAAAAGTAAATAAAAATAAAAATAAAAGAAGAATAGTCGATCGAGAGGAGACATTATATATAATACGTTGGTTTTTCTTGATTGTGTAAGATAGTGTAATTTAGTGGACTGTCCAGTGACGAACGAAATCGTTAATAGATAATAAATAGACGAGATATAATGGCCTTTATAGAGCCTCAGTGAAATATTGTTTCTAATCTTGTTCGAGATTTGAATGATATGAGACTTCTGTCATGAAAGGCACGAAAAGAAAGTACAAATCGGAACGGCGGGAATCTTGAGACAATGATGAAGGTGATAACAACATCGATGCTCTGAAAAAGGGAAAAAAAGAAGAAAGAAATAAAACAAAAAACCCCCTAAGAAAAAAGTTAAAAGAAGAAAATCAAAAAATAAAAGAACACTCAGAGACAACGTTTCGTTGGTATAAACGGTTCGTGAAACATTCGGGCTCGTCGAGATGTCGGCAGTAGCACCAGCTGGAACCGGTGCTACGGCGCCAACAACAAACGGCCCGATTGTTCCCGCTCCGGTTTTTGCCTTACCGACGTTGTCCTTCACCGTCGGCCAGGTTGCAACGGTTTGCGAAACGTTGGAAGAGAGTGGGGACATCGAAAGATTGGCTAGGTTCCTTTGGAGCCTTCCCGTTGCCCATCCTAATATCCAAGAATTGAATCAGAGCGAGGCAGTGCTCAGAGCTCGTGCGATAGTTGCCTTTCATTCAGGACATTATAGAGAACTCTATAATATTTTAGAGAGACACAAATTCACCAAGGATTCCCACGGTAAACTTCAAGCCATGTGGCTTGAAGCACATTATCAAGAAGCTGAGAAACTTCGTGGTAGACCTCTCGGTCCCGTTGACAAATACAGAGTAAGAAAGAAATTTCCATTGCCAAGAACGATTTGGGACGGCGAACAAAAAACTCATTGCTTCAAAGAGAGAACTAGATCATTGCTAAGGGAATGGTACCTTCAGGATCCTTATCCGAATCCTGGAAAGAAGAGAGAACTTGCTGCTGCAACTGGCCTAACACCGACCCAGGTTGGTAATTGGTTCAAAAACCGAAGGCAGAGGGATCGTGCTGCTGCAGCGAAGAACAGGTATATGTAAATCAATTTTGTTTCTTTTTTTCTTTTCCTTTTTTCTTGTTTTCTATTTTATTTTTTTATCATCCATGCCAATTTAATTTTAGATTTAAATTAGGAAGTTATTAGACTTTTTTTTAAAGAGACATTATATATCTTTAAGAATAAAATATAATTGGTTATATAAATCTATAGAACTCAATCGAATGATCGAGCCGTCTTTAAAGGGATGTGTTTATTAAATAAATAATAAATGGCTACCTATTGATATATATATATATATATTCTTTAAATAAATAAATCATTCAACGATCATTAAAATCGAAATTTGAATGACACCATTGATTATTAAACGAAACGATCTCTTCATCCAATGCTTTATCTTTCTCTTTCTTTCTTTCTTTCTTTCTTTTTTTCTTTCTCTCGCTCGCTCGCTCGCTCGCTCCTTCTCTCTATTACTTCCGAGAGCAACGAAGAAAATAATCTTCTTCTTTGAGATAAAGTCTATAGTGGTTGTTCGCGTGCATGACGCGAAAGATTTGTTCATTAAGTAGCGTTTAATGGAAGTTAATCGCGAAACGATTAGTGGTTTAGGTCCCTTTAGCCAGATTGTTGGTACTGTGTCGTCGACAAACGAGCCTTTGTGCCCGCCCCAAGGTCCCCGTTTCAAGGGTCGCGTAATTTCATTTTGACGTCCGACGGAGGGTCGCTGCCGTCGGGCGAACAACGATTTTCGAATTACGTCTTTCAAATTGTATTTCAACGTTGTTTTCTCTCTCTCTCTCTCTCTTTCTCTTTCTCTTTCTCTTTCTCTCTCTCCCGAGATGGCTTCTACGTACGACTGTTCGACGTCGAGATAATATTCAAATCGTTTTCTGACGCACGACAACCCTCGTCGTCTCGTCCTTCGATAAAGTAGAAAATAAACGAATCGAAACGATTATACGAGATCTTTTCCTTTTTCCTTTTTTTTTCTCTTGAAAATCGTTCAAACGTCTTAGCTATTTTTGTTTTTCTTTTTCTTTACTTTTTGGGAACTAATTTATTATTCCTTATCTATTGACTATTTTCTATTTATCTTTTTCTTTTTCTTCTTGATCTATTGTCATTTCAATAAATGACAAATGTCATTCAATAAACAACAACTGGCAACACACGAACACTTTCCTCGTAGAAAAAAAAAAAAATTTCGGATGGATATTTCCTATGGGTTCAACGATTACTATGAAAATTTCTCTGTCATGTACATATTTTTCTTTTTATTACTTTTTACGTAAATAAGATCGTAAGATCTAAAATGTAATTAAATATATCAAATCCGTCATGATTTGTTAATTATCAATGGATAATTTCGAGACTATTGTAGGAGAAAGAGAGAGGAGAGAGAGAGAGAGAGGAGAGAGAGGAGAGAGAGAGAGAGGAGAGAGAGAGGAGAGAGAGAGGAGAGAGAAAGGAGAGAGAGAGGAGAGAGAGAAAGAGAGAGAGAGAGGAGAGAGAGAGGAGAGAGAGAGGAGAGAGAGAAAGGAGAGAAGAAAAAAGAAAAAATAAAAAAAAAAGAATGAAAAAGAGATATAAATAAAAATAAATTGCAGACAAGACCGTTAGGATTATATTTATTACGGTAATATCCCAGGTGTTTGTATTATATTGTCGTTTGTCATTCAATAAATGGACATCATAAAATACTTCCCTCGTAGAAAAGAAAATTTCGGCTAGGTATATCCCGTGGGTTCAACGATTACTATGAAAATCTCTTTACTTCATGTACATCGGAAATTCGTTAGAAAGAAAAGAATTTTGTGGCAAAACAATTATATATATTTTGTCATATTTGATTTATGACACTTTTTCGAAAATAACAATTTCTTTTTTGTTATAAGAAAAACTTTATGTTTCTCTTTCGCTTGCTTTATATTCACCGAAAAACATTGTTTTCTTTTCTGCTTTGTTTTATTTTTTATTTTCTTTTTTTATTTATCTCTTTCTCTTTTTTTTTTTTTTTACTACTCTGTTTATTTTTTCTTTTATTTTTTTCTTCTTTTTTTTTTTTTTTAATGTCAAAATCTTTCTCAATCGTCCTTTTTTTCCCCGACGGCTTGAAAACAACATAACGTAGAAAATAAGAAATAAATTAATTTACGTGAGACTACATATCTTAAAACATTCGTTTCATATCGCCAATTAATAATATATTCCGATAGAATTTATCGATCGTGTAATTTAAATTGCACGATTATATTGAAAAGAATAATAGAAATCTTAAATCGACTGGAAGTATTGGATTGAAGGAAAAAGACTATGTGACTAAGAAATTTATTTGTCAATCGTTTCTCAACGATTAATTGTTGCGTTGCCGACGTAAACAGAAGAAAAAACGTTTGACGGATAGCTCAGTGACGATTACCGGTGACCATCATGCCGATGAATTTATTAAATATGACGAACAAACGACGATATGCCTAATAAAAGTCTAGAACTTGATAATGACAATCTAACTTAATATATATATATATATTGTTAAAGAATCGAGTCACGTATTTTTCTCTCTCCTTTCCTTCCTCCCACCCACCCCTCTCTCTCTCTCTCTCTCTCTCTCTTTTACTCTTTGTCTCTATGTAAAATTCGTCGAATGTGCATGCACTTGCATCGAAAGTTACAACTACGACCCATATCTGTCGCCATGCGCGCTCGTCTATAATTATTGCGCTCTGAATGAAGTCATTAATAGTCATTATCTACGTCTACGGTGTAATTGATATATCGTTAACGGTCGACGATCGTCCAGGCATACTGGTCTAATTGATTTTGATGAGCTCCTGCAATCGGTAAGATTACACGTTTGAAGTTCAACTACGTCTTTAAACAGTATCAATGTTTAACGTATTAAACATGATAGAAATTACAATTAGAATAATCTATATTATTGATTAAGTGTTCAATTATTCGTTGATATATAGATATATAACTAGATATATATAGTTGTTCATTTAAATATTTTACGGAAATAATAGAAGAGGAAATATCAATGTTAGATATCTAGAAATACAATGGTTAGATATCTATCATCGATGACGTAAAAGATGTTCTTCTATGTTCCTGGATCAAGGCCACGTTTTCTTACAGATAAACCAATGCACCTTCGTACGTATTCATATACGTACGGTGTATCAACGTCGACGAAAAGCTTCTCTCAAACGGAAGAAAGAAAGAAAGAAAGAAAGAAAAAAAGAAAAAAAGAAAGAAAAAAGGAGAGAGAGAGAGAGAGCGAGAGAGAGAGAGAGAGAGAGAGAGAGAAAAGATGCACAGTTTCCTTCAGAAGCATCGATTCGCGTATAGATATTCCAAAGTCTCGACGTCTCGTCCTTTTCCGATTTCTCTTTTATATTTCCATCCTTATTCCTTCGTAGACAATCTACATATCCATCGTGACCTCTCAACGTCAATTCAAAATTCTTTGAATTCCACCGTCCAGTTCGCAAAGACCTGACGATATCTCACGATGAATAAATAACAATATGACAATATTACATAATATATTAATATGAAACGGATATATATATATATATATATATTAATATCCTTCGTTAAAATTAAAGCTTTACAATTTCATTTGAAATCAATAATATTCGAGAAAATATGAAAATAATTGTATTCAATATTTTTACTTTCTTTATTATCTAAATGAAAATATTTATTCTTATGATATTTTTTTATAAAGAAATCCTTGTAATAGAAAATTTTAATAGAAACTTAGAAACAGAAGAATAAGATATCTCTTTCTCTCTCTCTTTCTCTCTCTTTCTCTCGTTTTCTTTCATTATCAAAACGCGTACTATATATTGCAGTTGTCGTCATCGTCTGGGGTAGGTAGGGCAGATAGTATTATATATAGATAGAGTGCAGTATCCGCCCCGAGGATCCTACAAGGTCCTTTCAGAAATGTCGATCCGCATACTGGCAAGCTCGCGGTATATTTTCGCGGTCCAGCGAGCGAGTTATTCAATATGCTCAACCCCAAAAGCCCTGGAGCCATCTCCGTGCTTGCACGTTCTACTCGTTCGTACACCTTTGAATATCCAAGCGTGTAAGAATTCGCATACACGCACTCTCTATATCGTAATATACATATAATACATATTATATATTACACATATTATATGTATGTATATATATACATATACATTTATTCGGTCCACGTTAGGTCACATTCTACGCTTTTACAAAGAACGAACTTGTACAATGTGTTAACCGAAGTTCCGTCGCAGTCAGGAAGTTAATGTAAATGTTAATAGGAATAATTCATAAGGTACCTAATTCATAAAGATCGTTATTAATCTATCAAAGATCTCGACTTTCCATCGAATAATATTTGTGTGCGCGCTTATGTGAATTTCTTTATAATATCTCTAAAAAAAAAAAAAAAAAAAACAATAATAATACATATATTTTTACATATATTTATACATATATCTTTTTTTTTTTTTTTTTGTAAAACGTTTATCATAAGATAAAAAAGAGAATCGACTAAATCGTCGTAGTTGCCGTGCAAAAGGCGACTGTGAAAAAAAAAGCTTCAATTCGTAAATATTCGATTCGATAGGAAGGCTCCTTACGTAGGAAGGAGACGAGAGAAAACAAGAGGGGTTTTGCTCGAGGGTGCGTGTTAGAAGGGTGGGGATAACCACCACGGAAACCCTCGCGTTCTCTTCGGGGTAGCTTTAGTCGTCGAATGCGTAGAGAGTCATATGTATATATATAGATATATATATATGCACACATACACACATATACGTACGCGCACGCACATTCATGTTGGCGCTCGTACGCCCTTACTTCGTCTTCTCCACCTCCGACGAGTTATCAGATTTTGATAAAGTCCCGGGTGTATTAGAGAGCTACGCTGTTTGCGTTTCTACGCAGATCCTGTCTGGCTGGCACCTTCTCGTATATTTCCATCCACCCCATCCCATACCTCTTGTTCTTCCATCAGCATCTTCGCTCTTTCGTTCGTTCAT